CGTACATTCTTTTTGAAATATGATTGAGTGGTTGTATTACAGTGCACACTAACCGTCACCAAAAAGACAAACCCTTATGCACTGGCAATATTGGTAACAATTATTGAAATACTGATAATGAACATAGTGATTTGTAAGATGAATGAAAACACCGATTGGAAATTTGAAAAAAAGACAAAATGAGAAACTGTATCACCGATTCTGCAATAGAAAAATATATTTGTAACGAAAGGAAATCAACAACTCCCGATACTGCGAGTGAATTGAAAAAGTGTTATCTGTCTAAATGTGTAAAAAAACTTTCACAATTCGGAGAATCGAAGTTTCTGGATTATTTTTTCAAAAACTCTAAAATCATCGAAGATGAAAAGATATAGAGCACTTTCTCCAATTCACCGAAAAAGTTTGAACTACTCTTACAAATACCTTTATAATGGAGAAAAATGTGACCCAATATGAGAAAAGCTTTAAAAAAATTCAACAAGAGATGAAGTATCGGAAGCAGTAAAATTATCCAACAAATATGAGATAAGAAGACTGCGCTCATCTGAAATGATTTCCATATCATACCTACAGTATAAACTTGAACGATTATTTTACTGAAGAATCGGTAAATTGTTTCAAACGAAATTAAATCAAACTATGTGACCTTTCACACATGCAGAACCGGAGAGAAGTAGAAGTTATTGTAACAGAAAGATGAAATAAAATGTAATGATTATAGACATACATAACTTTGTTCGTAGCTCTTTACTATAAAACCAAATTAAAATTACAAAGCACTAAAATCCGTTGAAAAAATTTTCTCTATTTTGCAAGACAAACAATGAGTGAATACACCAATTCCCGAAAAGACCCCTGAAATGAACAATCCGAAAATGAAAATACCAGCGTGGACTGGTCATTTAAAAACCAAAAGTATTACATCGAAAGAGAAAAAAAGGGCAAGTGAAGAATAAAAGAAAATACTGAGCTGGAAATTGGCAAATAAAGAAGCTTCGCAAAAAAAGGCTTAGAGATGATAACAACGGGCATAAACATCGATCGATTGAGAAATTCCAGGAAAGTATTATTCTAATGCTATTTCTCGCAAACACAACCATCAAAATTAAGAAAGGAAATAAAGAAAGAAAAAGAAAGAAAGAAAGGATAAAAAGGTGCAGACAAGACGAAATACCATTTGGAAAAAGAAAACAAAGAAATTGTACAAAATGAATAAGTTGATATTTGGAGTGAGTTAAGAGCATCGTGAGATGCAAAAGGCAAGATTTTTATAATGATAAAATTGAATAAAGACAATTTAAGAAATCGACAAATTATATTTGTATTACTTTGTTTCAAAATGCAACAATTAACGGAGAAAGTATGAGTATGAAATGCTTACAAAAAGTTGCTTACCATAAGCATTACATATCCATATTGAATTGCTTCACCTGACGAAGAGGATGAAAATATTAGTATTGAAATGTGAAATGTTAATTGATATCAATGTTAGACACATAAGTCTGAATTAAAATATAACATCAAATCTTCTCTTTCTCAAATATCGAAATTTCATGTTATCTTAAATCCTAAAAATCGATCTCATTTCAGGTATTTCTAATGCTTTCTTACTATCCTTTCGGGAAAAAAAAACCAGGCAAAGAATTAGGAAATATATTTACTTTCCGGACCTACCAGGACTATGACTATACAATATAAAGCTATAGCATTGATTGTTAGAGCTCTTCTTAAAATAAATCATTTCTTGATTTCAATAACTAAACATAATGTAAATGAAAAGAATGAGATAAGAACTATTCTGGGCAGAATGGAAATTTAATGCTGTATCTATCAGGTGGAATTATGTCCAATAAAGTATTAATTAGTAAAAGTCCGCAAAAAAGAAACCTGAATTAATACGATTAGAATTTCTAAAACCTCTTCGTCAGGTAAGAAAAATGAAGACTTTTATTTACCATAAAGGCAAGGAAGGCGCTAAAATTATTTCTGAGGAAAAAGTTTAAAAAAAGTGAACAAAAGGCACTTCAGATCTTCAGAAGAAGAGAAACAAGTAAAACGTTAAAAATAAAATATAAATAATTACAACCAATTTAAGTGGGTCATTATCGAGCAACATCATTGCAAAACCAATAAGTGACATTAAAAACAGCTTTCTGAAGTGATGATAACAATATAACATAAATTCAAAAAAAAAAGTGAAAAAAGTAGGGTCTGGTAAAATTTGAAAAGTTGATCAAAAACAAAACTTCTAGAATTTTGACAACGAGTAATGAAAAAGAAACATTCTAAATGGAGTATTTTAATAAGAATGAAATATTCGAGCCATATAATTTCTTCTTGCAAAAATAAGAAAAAGGGTCAGAGTTTCATAAAAGTAGAATTAGAAGTGCACAAAATTAACCAACCCTAGGATAAGTAGAATAAAGAATGAAATCAAGGAAATCCTAGAAGTTCATTTAAGTACAGGATATCTTTCTTTAAACAAACAATGTCAAAAGCTAACATCAGAGTCGTGAGATTCAAAACAAAAACGCTTATTTACAACAAAAAAAAGCACAAACAGCTGACCAGCAGTGAATACAACAAAATACTCCCAAAACTAAAACTGAAGTTTCACACTAAACAAACCTCGCGTCCACTAATTTCTCAACGACTCAATTTCTTACAACTGCAAACCGTTGTCACCTTAAAAATAGTAACAATTTATGATTACTTTATGAATTATTTGGGCTAAATGTGCCACCATTAACACTACCATAACGACAAGTATTAAGCAGAAACTCTCCAATTTGTTCAAGATGGGATGCAGCTTTAGTGAGTGATGCAATACTATCCACGATTTTCGATTCACGTGCTAGTTGTTGCTCAAAAAGAAGCTCGGCACGTCGCTGAAGCTCCTCCTGTCGCTGAAACACGAAATAATACATTTTAGGATAACGAAACTGTCAAAAATAACAATGACCAAAAGATGAATGAAATAATTATTCAAATGGCTTCTGTCAAAAATTCATCTTAACAAATTTAATATGTAACGATAGCAAATTACGAAGATGAATTTTTAAAAATGATGAAATCTTGCCAATATTTTTATGCTTATCCTTAA